GTCCACATTGGCTCGTGACAGACTTTACTTAAATTACTATTTTGAATGTTAAAAAAAAGGATGAATATATTCAGTTTTAAAACTTGTAATTTGTCTTTGACCACAAAGATTCTTGTAAAGCAGTGATTTTCTGATGAGTTGTAACATTGCATGGATGGAAAGTTCTTTCCCAGGCTTTTTTTTATACAAAAACTACACAAATCTACATGTACCTAAAACATTACAAGTTCAACATGTTCAATGGACATGAACACAAGCTGAAAATGTACTTTTGGTACAATATACTAGGTATTTTTATACAACACCTGAATAAAATCCCGTCATCTGATTGGTGGATCGTTGATCACATGTCATTGAATTATTCGTACCAACGCACGGAGCGCGCATGGCGCGCAGCGCACAGTGCAATGGAAGTTCTATTGCACAGTGAATAGAACTTCTATTGCACGGTGTCACTGCTGCTAGTGGTGGCGCTGTTTAAATCGAGATGCATTGAATATGATTGTTCTCAACCTGTTGAACAGTTTGCATTAATATAAATATGATGAACTTGTCGAACTTTTAAACAGTTTTTAACCAAGTTAAGTTAACCAAAAGTTAACCAAGCAGATGACAAGGATTTATTCAGGTGTTATATAAAACAAATAATGAATGTGTCACGTTCGTGCAATGGAAAGAATAATTTCATTCGGTGACAGATGAAATGTTCCATTGACAGATGAAATGTTCCATTCCACTCGGCTTCGCCTTGTGGAATCGTGAAATTATTCTTACCATTGCACTCACAAACATTCATTATTTGTACAACAATTCATTCCACAACATTCACATGATCACCTGTACTACCGGTATTTAGTGGTATTGTCAATTTCATTTCTATTTTTATCTTAAACCACTTTGTCATTTCTTGGTATATGTGACTCATACATTACGTATGCTGGCTTCCATGGATCAGCTATTGGTCAAAGTGCATCACCACGTAAATCAGGCAAATTACATTTTTTGAAATAGTCTAGTGGCACATTGTGAAATACCATAGTTGTGTCAACAGGAAATTCAGTAAACTGCTTGAAAGCAGTGGTGTTGAGCATTCACCTGTTTTTGGCACAATCTAAAAAAACATCCCGACGGAGCAGACGTAAAAATGATCACAGAAAATGTTGCACAATGTTGTGCATCGAGAAAAGCTCCATGAACTTATTACAGGCATGCAACTTTTCCTCGGATCAGCTGATTTCCTCGTTTTTCACTTCACACTCATGCCATTAAATATTGAAAAACACTGTACAAAGTCTTGTAAAGGTTGGAGTTTCCTCGTTTTTTGTTTCTTGCAAGTTGCATGCCTGTTATTACATGTACTGGTACATTTTTACCATACCCATGTACCTCTGTTTTTAGTTGGTTTACCTTTAAACCACATTTACTCGAGACAGTTTACCCATTCCTATTGGTTGAGAGCCCATCACGTGGGTGGTTTTAAACAGCTGATAAAACACCGGCTGGTTTTTAAACACGTTCTCCTGTACTGCTGTGCTCTGCACCCCGATCGCGCAGTATGCGCTGCGTGTGTGCCAATCTCCATAAAAAGATTTTCAGCACTACACGCGCACGTACCGTACCATTGATATGGCCCAAGGGGTGTTTCACAAAGCATGAAGTACCGGTAAAACTGTTGAACAAAATCGTTGAAATTTGTGAATTTTTGACTTGTTTTGATTTTTGACCGAAAGGTACGGAAAATACATAGGGCCTAATATGTGCTTGGCCAGTATTAAACAAGTACATGTACCTGTACATTTAAAAACCGGCTGAGAGCCTGGTCGCGGATAATGGGTTTGGCCGAGGCCATTATCGCATCCATGCCCCTAGCTGGTTTTAAATGTACATGCTTAAAACCACACATACTGGTGGTAGTTATTCCCTTATAAATTCAAAAATTAGTTTCACTGTTACGTACAACATGTGCAAGTTCAGAGCAAAAACTTTTGCAATTTAATTGCATTGAGTTTACATTGTAAATGACAAATTGTGCAGAGATTTTTGTGGTGTTTTCCTGAGTAGGCCCTACACAGTGATGGCAATTCATTTTGTTCAATCCAAAGTTTCATTCTTACGAAACGTATTCATAAAAAAAAAACCAAAAAACAAAAAAAAATTCTACCATTTGAATACATACCATATACATATTTGAATACATTTGTATTTATTTACCAGTTACAAATTGTTCCTGGGTACATGTTTTTTTTTAGAATTTAGAATCTTCAGAGAAAAAAAATTTGCGTAGAAAGGTCCTGCAGAACTTGTGGTTATAATCATTTCCAATCATCACCAAAATAGGAATTCCATGGTGGGATTGCATGTGAAATGTCTACTTTTTGTTTTTCCTGTCTGTCTGTTTTCATATCATGTTTCTTTCCTCCTCATATTCTCACGTTGTATAGGAGCCAGCATAGTGAGTGATACATCCACAGGGGCATGGTTATATTGGAATCCTGTATGGAGAGGTATACATGTAGCATTAGCATGCCAGAGAATGAAAACATTTAATTGATTTGATCAATGCATGTACATGTAGCTGTATGCTGATTTTAAAAAAAATGCACATTTTTTTATATGATGTACATTGTACACCTGTTTGGAGCAGGTTCACATGTTCCTTCATACCGGTACTTACATGTACCTCACAGTCGCAATTCTGTTACTCGTAGCTAGAGCTACATTAAATTACTAACAACCTGCATACATGTACATGTAGACATGTACGTACATAACTCGCACACTGTGCACAATGTAGCTGGGTCATTCTGTGTCAAATCACCCCCAAAAAATTAAAAATTCTTTTGAAAGGTTACATCATAAGAAATCCAAATTTACCATTATTTTTCGTATCCGAGTTATTTGAAATGTAATGACCTTTTGACCTTTACCTTGACCTTGAATTTTACCTTGTGGATCGCCCGACCTTGAGACGAACTTCGATGAAAATTATACCCCACCAAGTTCTCTACAATATATCCACAAATTGGGGTATATTTTTTTTGGTTTGGTTTCTAGCTCTTTTCAAAGTTGGCATACGGTATGTGTTGCAAAATGTGATATCCCTATGCAGTGTACTAGTAGATTTAAAGTAGGGATTTTTTTTGTCCCTGCAGTGTACTAGGGGATTTAAATCAGGGATTTTTTTGTGTCCCTGAAAAGTGTACATGTATAGGGATATCACATTTTGCAACACGTATGCCAACTTTGACATGGTAAGCTAGAAACCAAAAAAAAAATAGACCTGTGACGTGGCCACGTTCACAGGCCTACAGTACCTTCAGCGGGGCCTGCATGCTTTTTGACGTACACAATACACACAGATTAGCTAGCTAAGGTACAGCTCGATATCATGTATTACAATGCTCAACGTTTGGCCACGCACATGGGTTTTATTTAAACCTTTGCTTCGTCTTCGGCTTCGACTTTGCCTCTGAATTTTGAACCACTGAGATGCAAACCAAACGGAAGTATTCCAACTTTTGGTTTCGTATCAACCGACTGATACTTCTTGAAGCATTAACAGGCACCAACATCTACCTGGAGTCCACGGAATTGGGGTTTAACTTTCCTTAAGCCGAAGCCGAAACGAAGCCAGAGTTTTGAAAGGCCCACAGACAGTCACCACGCTAACACGCCGAGCCAGTCGAGTTCCTTGTTACAAATAACGTTATGGCTTATTTGTTGAGCCTGGCACCAGATTGTGATGTACAGCAAAATACCGTTTGAGATACATGTACTTTAAACCATTTTGACTTTCACCATGTTCATATATTTGGCCAAAAAATAAGGTCATGTTGAACTGAACGATTTACTTCAAACAATATGGAGTAAACATTAGACCTTTGATGATTGTTTTCAAGGAATAAAAATGAAATGTTAAAAAGATCGTTTTTTGCAAGAATTATAGGGGCGTCATTGAAGGTGCTACTTTACGCGATAAATGCATTGACCAAGTGTCATGCATAGGATTCACTGCACGATAGAACGAAGCAAATACTCAATACTAGACTAATACACACATTTGGTATACCGGTAGAACAAGAGCTTGAATTATACCTGTAGAAACCAGAAAGCGTACAAATAACGGCCTTAAATTTCTATTACTATTTTGCACATTGCTTTTTTATGAACGGAAGATTCACACAGACCACCATTTGTCTCTTCTCAGGGCCCCCTCTGACACCCCCCCCCCCCCCCCCGAGCACATCCATGGAAAGCTCAAAATGATATTTGTGCACATCTAAATACTTGCAACCAATATATGAATATCCAGAACTGAAATACATGTACGCAATACGCAATTGTTTGTTTTCACTCTGCGCAAACAATGCACAGGTGCGCATAAGCGCTTAGTTGAATTTTTTTAATACGTAATATGAAACCATGCAGGCTTGCGTACTGAAGCGCAGTCCCGGCATGGATGCCATATTCTAGAGCGTGGGGCAAAATGTGCAGTACAAGCAACAAGATTAGATGGCTTATCAAGCGCAATATTCATTTTCAATTTTGGCTCCACTGGTTCCCCTTGCAATATGGTTCATCTCACAATGCCTCCGTCACTTAAATAAAAAAGTTCTAATTTAAATGGTTATTTTCAATTTCAAAGATATGATAGCATGGGTGGCACAGTGCCTAAAATGCTCACCTCGCACTGCTATGGCCCGGGTTCGATTCCCAGCTGAGTCCTAGAGTGGTTTGTTGATTCTACCCTGTGCTACAAGGGTTTTTCTCCGGGTTCTCCGGTTTTCCACCCTCCTCAAAAATCAACACTTGATCTGGCTGTGCATCCTTCGCAGTTCAGTTTCTGCTGCGAGTAAGGATGATTTGCTGGGCCCCCCCCCAAATATCTTTCATTTAAAGTGAGCATTATTTGGTCCACATTTGCTGGTGTACAGCGTATGCATGCTTTCATTTGAATCTTGCTTTATCTTTTGTTTTGTTTTCTGTGGGTCATGTTTTAGATTGTAAGTACACATGTCACTACAAGTGCCTGAACGAAGTGAAACTTGACTGTGATGAGTCACCAGTCTTCAAAGAGGCTCCATCGGAGTCACCACAGCACACAATTGTTGCAATACAGGTAACATTTGTTCCGTAGTCTGCTTGTTGATGTATTCAAATCAGCTGATTTCCTCATTTTTCACTTCGCACTTACTGTATGCCATTGAAAATTTAAAAATACTGTGAAAAGTCTTACAAAGCTTGGCATTTCCTCTTTTTGCATGTTTGTTTTGTTACAACCAGTAATACATGCCTGGGTTATTAAAGACAGAAATGTCAAATCTCTTCGCTTGCTGAGCCTGAGTCCTAGTTGCAAGGCACTTGGTTTAAGCCTGAGTCCTAGTTACATGTACAAGGCACTTGGTTCAAGTCTGAGTCCTACACTGTAGTTGCAAGGCACTTGGTTTAAGCCTGAGTCCTAGTTGCAAGGCACTTGGTTCAAGTCTGAGTCCTAGTTGCAAGGTACTTGGTTCAAGTCTGAGTCCTAGTTGCTAGGCACTTGGTTCAAGTCTGAGTCCTAGTTGCAAGGCACTTAGTTCAAGTCTGAGTCCTAGTTGCAAGGCACTTGGTTCAAGTCTGAGTCCTAGTTGCAAGGCACTTGGTTCAAGTCAGAATCCTAGTTGCAAGGCACTTGGTTCAAGTCAGAATCCTACGGTAGTTGCAAGGCACTGGGTTCAAGACTGAGTCCTAGTTGCAACACACTGGGTTCAAGTGTGAGTCCTAGTTGCAAGGCACTTGGTTCAAGTCAGAATCCTAGTTGCAAGGCACTTGGTTCAAGTCTGAGTCCTAGTTGCAAGGCACTTGGTTCAAGTCTGAGTCCTAGTTGCAAGGCACTGGGTTCAAGTCAGAATCCTAGTTGCAAGGCACTTGGTTCAAGTCTGAGTCCTAGTTGCAAGGCACTTGGTTCAAGTCTGAGTCCTAGTTGCTAGGCACTTGGTTCAAGTCTGAGTCCTAGTTGCAAGGCACTGGGTTCAAGTCAGAATCCTAGTTGCAAGGCACTTGGTTTAAGTCTGAGTCCTAGTTGCAAGGCACTTGGTTCAAGTCTGAATCATAGTTGCAAGGCACTTAGTTCAAGTCTGCGTCAAGGACCCAATTCACTTGTTAACAAGTCCAAGTCCAGAGTCATTTGGTTTTGAGTCAAACTCTGAGTCCTGAGTCCATTGGGTCGAGTCCCCAGTATGAGTTTCAAGCCACTTGTTCCGAGTCACTTCTTGAGTTTGGAAGTTGTGCATCCTTCCAAGTATCACTTACCTACACCTTCAATACCTTTATGCACATTATTGCTAAAGTGCCATGAAGAAATACCGGTACCCTCAGCTAGATGTGCTGGCAAAGCATGAGTTCGATAGAAACATTGTGTGCGGTGGTCTTTGTTATAGGCAAATGAGATTGGACTTTTTAATTTTGTTGGCATAGGATGGTGTGGAGGACACAAGTTCTTTGACTGGGCTGTCTAGAGAGGAGCTGATGTGGAGAATTGAAGAGTTCAACAGGAAGGTGGAGTCGTATCCCATCAAACTGGTAAGGCCATACAGTCACTCATTCACTGGGTGCTCCTCTACCCATGGCCTTTTCTCTCTGGTCAACACAAACAGCTGTCATTCTGATTGCATAAAAACAATACATGTAACTTTCAATCAAAATATTGCAGAAATGAAGAATGGATTTTGTTTGTTTTTAGTCCAAGACGAATTTGGATTTTGTTCCACTAAGGCCCCCCCCCCCAAAAAAAAGTCTTCAGTTTCTGGTATGGAGCTTATCCCAATAGTGACGCGACGGCGCAGCTTCTTTTTTTTTCCCCTTACTTTTTTTTCTTCAAATGACAGCTGATGTTGCAGATGACAATTCGATCCCCTTAAAACTCTTAAAAATATCCTTCAGGGTGGAGCTTGAGGTGACCTCAGTAAGGCCATATGGCTTGAGAATTCTGCACCCACTTACGATCTCTACCGACACGAACATTCTTCAGGAAATTTGGATATGCAAGACAAAAATCAGAGAAAACGGTGAGCATGGACAATGTGCATGTGCTGCCGGGCTGATCATTAGTCTGCCTCTTAACATATTGCGCTGATTAAAAAGTGTTTACAGGTTCCAGATAAACGACCATTGCTCCCTCAGTCTGGCTTCAAGAAGCACAATAACAAAATTACGTCTGCCAATGGTGCCCGACTAAAGTTAGTACAAAATAATATTGGAGCCCACCGAGGCCACATACATGCAAAGCTGATAAATACTCGATCATAGCCCCATCGAAAAACATGTTAAAATTGTGCAGCAGCAGGATTCCAGTCAAACCAGTGAGTTGGCGGTTTTGAGACATCATCTTACATTGAAAATAAAACTTATTTACTTTGTCGACACGCATGGCTACAGCAATGCGCGCATACCAAAAACCAGAGACTTTTTTTTTGGCCTTTGGCAAGGGTGTTTAAGCTGCTGCGTCGGTAGAGGGCACTATGAACAAGATAAATCAAGAGACTAAGGCAAGATCCATCAAGGACCATAGTTAACCATAGTTCGAATAACTCAGATCGAACACACGCTAGTCAACGATGGTTGGACTAGTCTAGTTGACTATTCAGGACCAGCCTACCGCGGTTGGTCATTTAATGATTTGTAGCTGGTTATCAATAGCAATTAATTTTTAAGGCTTAGTGTACAGGGAACCAACTATGAACAAAAATGGCAGGAAAAGAAAGTGCAAGTGCTAAATTTTCATTTTTATTGCATAGTTTCTCTATACATAGTTTACGATTCCGTCACTTTTGTCACCACTGTACTAGTACAAAAATAATGGTGATCACGTACTTAAGGTGTCCTAAACTACATGATCACTATTATTTGTCTAAATGAACAGAAACATCAAGTGTTGAAAAATTGTGCGACCGCCATTTGCTCACAGTCATTGACACTAGTTAACCAATGGTCCGTGATCAAACTTGCCCAAAATCAAATCTAGTCTTGGGTATTTTGGTACAGAGACCTTTATGTGCATGTACCTGTACCTGAGAATTTCTGAGCATACTTCACGCAGTTATATTTGTAATGCATGCATGTGAGGCATGCTCAAAATGTCTTGAACTTTTGACTCATCTTGTTGATAGCGCCCTCTACTGCTTTGGGGGTTGAGTGCCCTTGAGTGCCAACAATCAACATGTTGCAGAAGCGGAACAAAATCCAAATCAGTCTTGATTCAAATCAGTCAATGATTTTGATGGATTTACCGGTATAACTGTTTAGGATTTAGCCACTTTTTCAAGTTTAGCCACTATTACTTTGCATATGGCTAGCTCTAGACGTCCTTATTTTCATTTCAAGTACGCAAACTGTACAGTACATTGGTTTTCCGCATACAGTAGTGCTACTTTTTAGAAGATTTACATGTAGGATGCCTGAAAGGGAAAATGCCAAAGGGGTTACAGCTAATATTTCGGCTGTTACACATACCCGGTATTTCTGTTTAACATGCAGGAAATCAGAAATTCCATGTTTAACCATGAAACTGTGAGTGAGAATTAGTGTCCCACTGCATCACATGTGTGTCATGTAGTGGATATTTACTGAAATTGACCTCACAAAATCTTTCCGGTTTTTGCTACAGAGTTTAACTGAAAAGAACTGCCCAAAGCTGTATATATATAATGTACATTATGCTTGAAACTGAAAGTGAAAGTGTTCACTGATATTATTTATTACATTTGTTTGTATCGTTTGTCTATGCTTATGCTCGAGGGTTTCCAGACAACTCTTCCGACGAAACAGAAAATGGAAAATCAGAGCATCATTTAACATTCACCACATTGTCATAAATTCCTCACTAATTTTCTAGTTTCATTTTCTGATTGTGTCTGTGCACAGGAGAGTGACAGCTTAATATTTGTGGGTAGCCTGCGGATCTACATGAACCTCTCACGACCAATCAGCATTCCCAGTGGCTCTCCGCTACCCAAAGTGTGCAGTACGTTGCGTCCATACGACCACAGTGTGGACCACAGCAAGAGACGCACTTCCTTCTTTCTCCCGAAAAATACCTATGAGGTGAGGATGGAAGCCACTTGACAAGAGTCTTTTGTTGCAGCCAATCCCGATCCCTGACCAGCGCGGTCTATCAAGAGAGTTGTAATGACTAGAGTCAATGACTTGACTTGAGTCCGACTCAAATCACAATTTTTGGCGACTCGATTCGACTCGAGTTTCAACAGGTAACTGACTCAACTCGACTCATCACTATGAGCGCATCACTCCACTCGACTTGAGTCACTGCAAGGAAATCACTCCACTCGACTGGAGTCCCTCATCAGAAGACTCGACTCGAGTCAAAGGCTAATAACACTCGTGTCCCAAATGTGTGCGAAAATCATCTGGCGGTGACTCACAGTACAAAGTTATTTATGTTTGCTTTTCTTTGTGTTGCCGTCAAGTTGTGGACTCGCACCTCATGGTTTTATAATGTAGCGCACAAACTAATAATCCCGTACCCTGACTTCAAACACAATTTCCCAATTCTTGGTTTCATCATCGGCTTGGGGTGATTTCTTTAGCCCTCGATGGAACTCTGGCTAAATTTGTGTCCTGCTTTCAAAAAATAATTGGATACTTTTTTATATAATCAGAAACAGTTTTGTACGTTGAACGTTGGTTTTTACGTCGTCGGAAAAAAAATAATAAATCCAGACCTGGAGCCAAACCAGAGATAGAGAAGTTTCACTTCTTGTTAAACTGGTAAGCAGATCTTTGGTAGAAACGTCCAGCAGAAGTCTTCGTATCTTCATTATAATCTGGTGCCTTGTGTTCCTTCTTCCATTCTATAATGTATTAGTTGGTGTTCAAATATCAGTGACTCAAATCGACTCAAGCGTAAACTTGACTTGACTCGATCACACACTGTGTAGGGCCAATGATTTTCCGTTTCAGAAAAGTGCAAATTCCGTTTTCAAAAATCCTGAATTCCGTTTCAGGCTGAAAAATTCCGTTTCACATTTATTCAATACATAAAAAGGCATTTAAACATATACCATGTACACAATAATAAAAAAGTCGTTTGGTTGGAGCGCGGGAAAACTGCCCCAAAAAGATTTATATTTTATCAACGGACGATCAATGTACAGACATAGTATTTAACTTCACCACGGTCAAGTCGTATACTGCACTGCCACTGCCACACACGCAAGAAACATGCAATAGCCGTACAGGCCAATCCCATGACGTCACACACATCAGCTGGCAGAAGCGAAATTCATGTCCACCATTTTGTTTTCGGGCTAACGTTAGTAACAAAATAGGATAGTTTACGCATGGAGGAATAAGAACACACGGTAGATTTTGGACCTAAGCACAACATGCATTTCAATAGAGCCAAAGTTAGATGTTATACGAATGGTTGATTGATTGCACAGAGAAAAATAAACCTGCTGATGGAGCAAAAGAGACCCGCGAGAGCGTGCCGTGAGTGTGATGTTTTTCACCGTTGCGCTGACCGACAGCTACGGCATGCATCAGGACTGTCACTCCCATGACTACGCGTACTACGGTAATGATCTCGTAACATTTATTGCTCTGATCTTGAACGTTTTTGTCCCCCCAAAATCATGATATAAACACCGCTCATTTGTTGTATGGCTCATCTGTTCAATCAATCATCAATAATTTGTTTTGTACTCAGTAAATTTAACGAAATTATGTTTTTTTATCAATAAAATTGCAGAAATTATTTTCTTCTGATTCAAATTCCGTTTTCCGTTTCGAGGAGCAGATTCCAAGAATTCCGTCCGTTTTCTGCGATCGCGGAAAATCATTGGCCCTAACTGTGACTTGACTTGACCTTCTTGACCTACATGTAAGACTCGACTCAACTTGATCAATTCCTTCAAATTACTCGACTCAACTCGAGTCACTAAATTCAGTGTCTCGTTACAAGTCTGTCTATCAGTGGAGTACCAAAGTGTGACGTCATTTAGAACCAGAAAGTGTAGTGCAAACGAATGGAGTACGCGCGCGTGTTGGTTCATGGGCTGAATCACGCGCTAATGTCTTTTGCACACACATTGTGTGCGTAACGTATTCACTTCAGTACTCCTTAGAAACATGAATCCAAGTCCAGTCTAGTGAACTTCGACACTCAGATCCAATAAATTCTGAGCATTCCTCACGCACAGTAGCTTTAATATACATGTAGCTCGAATGAGGTATGCTCGGAATTCCTCGGATCCAGTGCCAAAGTTCCTAAGACTGGACTTAATTTGTCTTGTTGTTAGCGCCCTCTTTCATAATTTCTACCACGTCATGTTGCATTTCATTATACCTGACTACAACATTGCTGCTTACAAGTTTAATTTTAATCTTTACTTCGGAAACAGTTTTTGCTGTCATTTGTTATCAAACATTTCAATGTGGCCCATTTTGTTCGGAGTCAAAAGGAAATGAAAGGAAGGGGGTGATCCACACAGGAAAACGTGTCCGCGTTTGTTAGCTAGACCCTGTGAATGTGCCAACCCCACATAGAATAATGTCATAAAAAACAGTTTTGCCAAAATGGCAGTACCCAGTAATCAAATCCTACAAGTGTAACTGTTTGCATGGCAGCTTTTAAAATCCTCAAATATTAATTGTGACTTGAAGTGAAATTCTTTCCAGCAGCATATAAACTTACCTGGGATGTTGAAAAACGAAAATGTCAGCCCCGACGTGTTCATTGTGTATGTCGCCGATTTTGGAAAGAAATATGTGTACCTAATGTTTGAGGAAGACCGTTTGCCTTCATTGCTAATGGTCGCCGAGGTTTGTGGTAAAATATCGGGCCAACTTGCGCAAATGTTTCCCAACATGACATCATGATGCCCAAGTTGGCAAATGTTAACATTGTTCGCGTACAGTGTAGGTGGGAGACACCCCAGATAATTACTGGCACTGTTACATCAATTGCTGGATGCTATCATGCTATCCTACGCTAGCTTGAAACCACTTTTATTTTATAACAATTGCAGTGCAGCACAATCAAAGGTCCACGCATTGAAATGCCAACTTATATCGTTAATCAATAGATTTGTCTCTTACACAAGTGGATATTCCCCTGTTACTTAAGGGCAAATCCTGTTCATTAAAAAAAAATAAGTACCGTAAATTTGTACCGTGCATATAATACCTCCTCATCTTTCTGTGATTGATGTACTCGAGGGGTTTTTATGAAGGTTTAGGAAGGTTTAAAGACCTCTGTGGGTTATTAAAGGGAAGATACAACATTTGCAAGCATCAAAAAAGGAAATGATCAAATTATCACAAAATATTTTACTGGATTATTAGGGAATGACAGTCCAAAGCATCCTGTAAAATTGTGGCTCCTGGTGTGCTGACATTATGAAGAAAACTTGTATTTTTCCAACGCTGGTCAGCCGACCAGCGTTGGAGAAAACTGGCTTTTTAAAAAAAAACTGCTTCTAATTTTTCTAGTTATTCCGCATTCTCTTTGCAATTGATCATATACCTGTAAAGGAGTACAAGCCTGCTAGACTGATTTTCTGACCTTACAATTCCCCAAAGTCTATAAAGTGTTCCCTTACATCTTAAGTGGGGTCAGGGAACCAGACTACAAGAGCATGGTTGGTTTTTTTGGATTTTCCAGTATCTCCGAATCCAAAACGTGAAGCAAGTCAGTTTAACAATATTTGCTATAACATACTAATCCTCCAGATCCATTTATTTCTGAAAATTGCAGCAAAAGCAAATGTTGTACATTCCCTTTAAGAGGTCGGTGCACTGTTGTCTTTTCATCAAGTACAGTCAGAGTGCAGGCAGGTTTAAACTTCATGGAATATTTGAAAGCATTGCATATTCTTTAGGGAAAAGGCAAATACGTGTGTGGAATGACGTCACATCCGTTGACTTTAAAAGCTGCTTTACTTTTCAGCAAGACCTGCTAAGAGCATTAATTACTGACAGTGCATGGAAAAGTGCAAATCCTTTCTTGTCAAGAAGTTTTGCTTTATCCTGTGTTTTTTTTGTGGTTGGTTGGGATGTGGCAAAAAAGAAGAAAATTACACAGTATTCAGTGGGAATATTCAAGAGGATAATAATGAAGAACACTGTATACATTGTACATGTAGATCCACTTCTAGCCACTTTCAGCAACCTGCCCTGTGTCAAAAAAGTCATTGCAAAAAAGGTTGCCCTGAAGACAGAAAAGGTACAGAAAAACAGCTATACACACGTACATGTAACAAGATTACTCAGTGCAAAAGTTGTAAAGTAACACATTCAAAAAATTTGTGGATACGTGTACAGTACACAAGTGAGGTATTTGATACAAAGGAAGTTGGCATTGGTTATGACATCCAAGCTCTCAGGAAATGGTTACTTCACTCCTGATTTCCTTGTTAATTTTCCTGCTGATAATATTCAACAACAGGCCTTGCCCTACTGATAATGTACACAGCAACCTGTCAGTCAGTAGTATTCAGTGCGTCTTTTAGTGCTCTTCAACAAATTCAATTTTTTTTCTCACTTTCACTCGGGGGGTAACACACTGAGTATACAGTGTTTATACATCGGTGATGGGCAAAACCTGATATTGAATTTACATCACTCCAACTTAAATTCCATCTCATAATTAGATTTTTGTTGTCTTCCAATGTATTGTCTGCATTTTTTTCTATATTGAGCATCTTGAACCCTATGAATAAAGGCTGTTATTTTGGGTTGCTTTTGCACACATACCGGTACATGTACATAATGTACAAATCCATCCTACAAATAGACTGGTTCCCAGTCCCTACCTAACCAAATCTGATAGGATGGGAGAATCTGTTTGTCCTGTGTTAACCTCATACAAACTAAATAAAGAAGAAAAAGATACTTGCTGCCACATGTAAACTATTGGCAAGCTTCAAATAATTTTCCAGTTATAATTCTAAACATGGGCTGATTTTGTTGTCCAGTGTCTCATCCAAAAGTAAATAACTTTGTATTGTTGATGTACCCTAACGTGGCGCGGCCCCTAACATGGCGCACTTTGTTCTTTTGCATGTAGCGCCTAGCTAGAGCAAAAGTTTGTACTGAAATTTTACAGAAAGTGAAATTTCATCAAGTTCTAAACACTCCCGTTCATAAATCACGAGTTTATCTACCCGTTACAAAATTGGAGGAAAATATTATTTCGGCGTGATTTTCTGATTTTATTTCAAAGTGGACAGTGAACCCTTTGAAAATGTCCTTCCCAAAAATAGAAAATAATTTTCTGACAAACTTTTTGTTGGGTATGTGAGTAGAGATAAAAATTGTTTATCAGAATTCATCAACTTTACAGAAATTCTTAAATGTTAATTTGGAATTTTCAGACATTTATTTTCCATTGGGGAACACTCGGCCGATTTGTGCCCAATTTCCGGATGCCACAGTTGTTGAATTTCGGATTAAATTTCATGACACCGAAATTGTTCACAGAGGTTAAATAGCAAGCATTAATAAGGTAAAAGTACCAGTATTTCACTGAATGAATTTGAAGTTTGTCAACAAAGAAGTTAAGCAACACTGATGTGGAAAGTCGGCGTAAATGTCGAAGTGCGCCACGTTAGGGAACACCACTTTATTGCTAAAAAGATATCAATAAAATAAAAAGAATCTATTTTGGGTGATCTTAAAAATGGCAAAAACAGTACATGTATCTTTATGTCAAGTAAAATGACCCCATGCTTTTTATTGTGTGACACCCATAGGTACAAGTATATTAAATTAGTAGACATGGTAGAGTGCCTCATTCTTATGGGCGGAGATACTTTGAAACTGTCCTGCGCGCAGACATTCTGAATTCATGGCCTGCTTTCAGAACATAACAAAATTACCGGTACGGTACATGTAGATTAGAATACAAACGCAGATATGCAAATAGCCTTTAAAAATTGTGAGCTTTCCATAGGTTTGTGTACAAACATAGATGCGCCAGCAGGCATCACGTTGTACATGTACATGTACATCCAGTCAGCACTCTGGTAATTGAGTATAGCTCTGCGGTGGCACCATACAGATTCAAAGAGTGAAAGCTTGCATGAGCTCCATGCATCTAGGAGTCAAATGCACTATTTGTTTTGCTATTGAAGCTGCCAAGCCCACCACCTGTTCCCCTCCATACTTGAACTTGTTATTATCATCTGTGTCATCTGTCTTGCATACAGGATATTCAGATAGCCAGTGAGTCCACGGCCATTCAGGTCATCCAAGGTGTTCTGAGTCACATTCAAGTCATCGATAATTGCCGCAAATTCGCTCTCTTTGAGCGCTCAGAAGAAAACGGTGAAGGTAGGTTTGGATCCTACTTGTAATTTTTCCCTCAATGCAAATTTTTTTTATTGCACCTTATACATATTTATAAACCGTAAAGGCTTCTTTTTCATTGCTGGATGTTATACCACATCAGGGGAGTACATGTAAATGTGGCTTTCCCGCACAGCACACCGGGAAAGTATTACCCCCAAAATACAAATGTTTAAGGTCTTAGACTCCAAGGTACGTACTACCAGTAGAAGTGGACGCAAGTGACACAAGGATCATACATATTCCATTGGATTTTCAAGGAAAATATACCTTCACCCTCCTGCTATTTAAGCAGTCACCAACAGACAGAAATCACTTCCATTTCCCCTGCTACACTTTTAACAAAGGCTAGTCACCAACAGTCAGATCATATGTCAAGCAAGCGCTGTGTCTAGTCAAACTTCATCAACAGACCAAGCAGGCAAGTTACGATCACAGCTGTTTAACACTCACCTGGAGTCCAGGCATAGCTGTTTGGAGTTAGTTAATCAGTCCAAGACAGTCAATCTTGCTTTATGTGGGCTGGGAATTCTTACGGGTTGAAAACAGTCACTTGATTAATTTTGACTGCAAGGACAACTTGGCACAGAATGTACGTTTGCATAGGAGGGTTAATGAATCATAATAAAACAAATACACATCATGGTTTATTTCGGAGAAGTGTGCAGTTTATACTGGTCTCAGTGTGTTGGCTGACGACCGCCCTCCACTTCACCTAAGAAGGCAGTCTAGTAATCAGCCAACAACTTGGGGCCAGAGGTTTTGCCATACTTGCCCCTCGAACCATGTTGTAATTATTACGCCTCATGCATATTTATGAGCAACATGTACTTCTTTCATTGGTTGATGGGCCAACTTGTCTGGAAAGTAAAAGTAGATAACCACAGATGGTCACATGCTCCGCCTGTGTATGTACAATTGCCCAAGTGGTCGGTAGTGTCTGAGAAGTTGATTGCACCCCACGATGAGCTCCTAGATTCCCAGCAAGTGTGGTTGCTGGTTGTACCATCTTGACAACTTCATGTCAGACAAATGATTAATGGCATTCTGTGTAAGGATTGCCCACGGAATGTTTCCACAGTTGGTAACAAAATTAAATGTGTATGAAGTGCAATACTACAAATACAACATGATTTCTTTCAGGGAAGAAGACAAAATCACTGGTCCCTCAGTGTTAGTTGATTTGAGTTCGTCCCTGAACTTGTTGTCAGGATCTAGTCGAATCAACCAACATCTCTGGACCATAATTTCCCTCGTCATGTACATTCCCTAAAACCATGTTGTAGCTTTTTGCTTTGAATGTATCGTCCTCGCTTGCGATTACTCTTTTCTGAGGGTAGTACACGTACCGGTAGGTTCAAAGTTGTTGTTCTGATTTTTGTTTCTGTTGACATTTTTGTAGTGTTGATGAGAAAACTGGCGGATGAGGACAAGCCGCTGTTGCTTAGACTGTTGTGGGGAGGGGACAATGCAACAAAGCGATATGAGTTACGAGAGAATGAAACTGGACAGATTGAGGTAGGGACTCATAGTATTTGTACATTTTAAGAAGTTTCTTGGTGCAATTAATCCTTCACGGTAATTTCAAATTGTATTTTTGAGGATATGCCAGTTTTTCATTGCTGCAAAAATGTGTTGGACATGGTACTATCGAACTGAAGTTGCTTCATTCGGAATGTTCAGAAATGCGTATTTAAGCGTGACATCATTTGCCCAACCACAATTACCAAACTATCAACTTGTTGTTTTGATTAGAGGAAAACAATATTTAAGGCTGATAAAAGTGACCAAAAGATGAAGGGCTTTTGAGGTTGTGTACGCATAGTCATTGAGGGACAGCAACCCACACGATGCAGTTTGTTGAGAACTAGCCAAAATAAACGGAATAAATGCTTTTTCCACATTTGTAAATCAACTTTCATTTTGTATCTTGCTCTTTGTGAACATTCATGTAAAATGAAATAAATTACATTGATCATGGTTTCAACCGGAAAGCAGTGGATGGCAGCGAGTTGTGGCCATAGAGCTATATTAAATTACTAGAGCGCTAACTCGTCATTCTGCGAGCGGACATGCTTTGAAGCCGTCCTGGGCGCAGACATTTTGAATTCTTGTGCGTGTTTGTAGAACATAAAGAAATTAGACAGATTGAATTTTGAAAGTGTACTCTAATGCAACGCGCAAGTATAGAACATACGCAAACAACTTAAGCGCGTCATTGACAGTTCAAAACATACATGTAGATATAGAATAAAAAGAGTTTTTATTCTATATCTATGGTTCAAAAAACGTGACGGCAAAAAGCATCTGCAGCGAATACGCGCACGCGTTGCGCTGTTTGCGTAGAGCAAAATGACACGCTCACTTGCTGATCGTGCGTTTCGGTTTTGGGCGTATTGGCTTCGATGACGCACCAGTATGAAATACAAATGCAGATATGCAAATAGCCGTACAAAAGCCGTACAAAATTTCTAGGTCTCCATAGGTTTGTGCACAAAAATGGATGCGCCCAGCAGGCATTACTTTGTACACGAAGTTAGCGCTCCCCAATAATATTGTGGCGTGTGACTGGGACCTGAAAAGGGCCCAAAGAAAAGGAATAAATATGTGCTTCGACGGTATTAAACAAGCATGTTTAAAGGGTAAATACAACATTTGCAAACATCAAAAAATAAAACTACCAAATTATTTGAAATAACTTGCTGGACTGTTGGTGAATGACAGTCTAAAGCGTCCTGTAAAATCATGGCACCTGGTATACTGTCATTTTCAAGAAAAGTGGTATTTTCATATCAATTTCCAACACTGGTCAGCCGACCAGCGTTGGAAAAAACTTGCTTTCTTTCAAATACTGGCCCCAATTGACCATATTTAGTTAGTTCGCATTTGTTTGCAATCGATTACACACCTATGAATGGGTACAAGCCAGCTAGACTGGTTCCCTGACCTTACAATTCCCCAACGTCTATAAATTGCTCCATTTCATCTTATATGGAGTCAAGGAACCAGACTACAGAAAAGTGATGGTTTTTCTTGGTTTTTATAGCATCTACGAACCCAAAACATCAAAGAGTTTACATTACCAACCCCCCAAATCCATCCATTTCTGAAAATTACAGCAAGAGCAAATGATGTATATTTTCTTTAAAACTGGCTAGGGGCCTGGACAGGGATAATGGGCGAGGGCCATTATTGGCGACCACGCCCCTAGCCGGTTTTAAATGTACTTGTTTAATACCGGCTAAGCACATACCGACATATACTGGTATATATATATTCCCGTTGGTAAATATCTTTCGGTAAAGAAAGTCAAAACAGGTCACAAACTCAATATTTTACAAAAATGTTGTTCAACAACTTTATCTCATGTTTTGTGAAACACCCCTCTGGCCATGTTTATGGTATGTGCCTCGCGTGCGTAATGCTAAAAATCTCCTTTTATGGAGATTGGCACGTGCGCTGTTGCCCAGAACGTAGTGGTGCAAGAATTACGGTGTTTAAAACCAGCTGGTGTTTTATCAGTGGTTTAAAACCACTGCGAGACGGGCTCTCGACCAATGGTCATTGGTAAACTGTTTCTGGTATTTAGGAATGACTGGATTAATGTGAATGCTAATGACGAACTGGTGTTTGTTCAAAGCATATCCCTTTTTTTGGTTTGCTGCTAAACCTGAACCAATCCATTGTTAGGGCAGGAATTTCTGAGCCTCGCTGAACCAAATCCGAACCTGACCTAGAGCATTGACTTTTAGCACAAAATGAAAGTGACAGTAAATGTTACTTGGTGACATACACGTAGGCTATCCAAGTTTGTCTGTGTGGTGGATACATGTACCTAACTTGGTTTACTTCTTTCATTCCAGTGGGAGGCATTTACGGTGCCCGAGCTGCAGAATTTCCTCCGTATCTTGGACAAGGAAGAGCAAGACCACATCGAGCAAGTGCAGAATAAGTATCTGGTCTATGAGAAACGCCTCAAGGATGCGATGGCTTACATTGATTAGGAACTGTCAACACAAAAACCCAAACCGAAACGAGAAAACCTTGTGCCCAAGTGTATTGATGATTGCTTTAGCTTTGTAGTTCTACAGAGCAGAGTTATGGACTATTTTGGTCCAACACTGGATTTGAAGTTTTGTTCTCCTAATGCAGCACATCCCTGACAAGGTGAGCAATACAGGCAATTTCAAAGCAGTGCTGAGCAGAATTAAATTCCCAAGCTTTTGGACCTTGGCCCTTCCTCAGGGGTTGTTCTTGCATATTTTGAACACAGAGAACTCCACATTTAGACAGCTGGGTGAGAGCGTCCCCAGATTGAATGCAAGACGCTGCTTGCGATCTTTGCATTTTGCGTCAGAAATTTAGAGGATGCCGTACCTCACATGGGGACATGAGCTTGTTGACAGCGCCCTCTAAAACAGCAGCAGCTTAAACGCTTTGCGAGGGACTGACTGTAATATTAAGCGTAACGAAATTCAAATCCAGTTCTTGACCTAGACTAAGTCATCGGTTTTATTTCTCTGCTTGAGGTTCAGTGGCTACAGTCAGCATGCTTTGGTCACAGGGTAAGCGTGGAAGAAGTTGCACAGAGATTCTTTGGCAACATGTTTTTAAGTTACTGGAAAATGCATTTACGGTATAAAACACAAAGAACTGAATTGTTTTGCTACATTGGGGTCCACAGTAAAGTGAAAGGTGATCGCAGTGACCAAGGACCATGCAGGGCAAACTGCCTTCACTTTTCTCCTCTTATGAATTGATTTTTTGGTGTAAAATGTCAGTGGTTCTGTATCTGCAAAACAAGATAATCAGCAGTTCATCCATTCTTCAATTGATAATTCTTTAAGGGCATAATATTTGCATGTAGTTTCATTTTACGTGAATACAACATCAAACTAAATTGTGTAAGTTAAGTAACTTTGAGTAGTTGTATTCGTAAGTAATTAATTAAAATCAAGACTTTAAATAATTAAGAAAACTTGGTAGCATATGCAAGGGCACAGCACACAGAATACAGGTTGGTTCAAAATAAAGGAAGTCCACTTTTGACAGCAATTATTGCCTACCGATACGAAGTTAACTGATTTCAATTGTTTCTTGACATAGTAGTAAAGTATAGCACTTTAAACATGCATGGTAAAAAAAGCTTTGCAAAAGTCAAGAGAATAGTGATATTATGCTAGTTTGAATACAAGTCACCAAAATCAGTCTTGTCCATGTGTTATTCTATGTGAATTGGACTTTTTCGTAGTTCATAACAAAATATTTTGACCTGGCAATTTTTATTGAGGCTGTCCGATTATTCACGTCAGTGTTTAGATCATCTACCCAAGGAGCTGTAGGCTTAAGTTCATTGTTGCATAACATTACATACCAAGCAAATGTCACCATTGTAACCCTTTCGTATGTTAAAAACAGGTATTTTTAAATGGTAATGTTCAAGCTTGCATTGGTACACTTTGTGTTGAACCCAGTCAAGCGGATGGAATGTTTACCTCCGTGGACAAACAGGTTTTTGCACATGAAATGTTCAAACTACATGTACCATAACTCAGAGACAAAATATGCAATCGCAACCACTTTTTCATTACTTATGCTTAAAGGCCAGTACTTTAATAGCTACTAATCAAAAGTTTAATATAATTTTTAAAAATAGGTTGAACTAGCTGTCAAAATGCATTTGCTTTATTTTGAACCACCCTGTAAGTGCAAACATGTACCTTGTTCCATCCAACATGTACAGAACATGCAAGTTGTTCAGACAAGAGCATGATACATGTATTGCACATAAAATTAACTTGGAAAAGAAGTACATTTTCAGTTCAGTTTGTAGTATTTGTTATTTTAAATTAAGTTCTATGGTAATTGAAATGTAGATATTAAGTCGTAAGTAAAGAGCGTTTGTAAATACAATGAGGTTTTGTGTTTGTATTCGCTTTAATATTTCTGTCTTTGAAACGGGCAGAATTAAATTTGCCTCTGTACTGTGTCCACCTACTATGGGGCTTAATATACGTGCAGCACAACTGGTACAGTGGGTATGTGAGTGATTTCGAACAAGATATTGAGAGTTTTGAACTATTGACTTATTATGAATATCTGTAGGCCTTGTTATCTTGCCTACCAAGGATCCAAAGTGAGTGGGCCCAGGTTGGATTGAACACAGATGGACAAAGCATATTAAACAACACCTGAATAAATCCACGTCATCTGATTGGTGGATCATTGATCGCATGTAAGTGAATAATTCGTTCCAACGCACTGCGCAGCCGCACCACAAAAATAGCAGTTCTATTGCCCGGTGAATAGAACTTTAATTGCACGGTTTCATTACTGCTGGTGGTGGCGCTGTATTACGAATCTGATTTACAGAATGTCGAATTGGCGGACGATACGCGTAAATCTGCGTTTGTTCTCCAAAGAAATATCGGAACTCTATGTAAATGCTCACACTGCTAACACAAAGAAGCAAATCAGATTTGCTGCCAAACGATAAGACAAATTTGAATATGGTAGTTCTGGACTTGTCGAGAACAGTTTTTGAACTACATAAATTGGAAATGAAAGTTCTGAACTTAGTTGTGGAAAAGTTTTAGACCGAGATAAATTGAATATGCTGGCTAGTTCTGAACTTGTTGAACAGTTTTGAATAAATCGGATATTGGATGGGGCCACCATTTTGTCTGAAAAAGAAAAAACATTGATGTTAGAACCAGTTGACAAGTCAACCATTCAGATGACGAAGATTTATTTAGGTGTTATATAAAACAAATAATGTTTCACATTCGTGCAATGGAAAGAATAATTTCATTCGGTGACAGTTGAAATGTTCCATTCAACTTGGCTTTGCCTCGTGGAATGGAATATTTATCTGTCACCTCATGAAATTATTTTTACCATTGCATTCACAAACCCCTCATTATTTGTATACTGTTCAAAATTAAAAACTGGTTTGCATCACTGCCATTCGTCGGTGATTTAAAAACCATTATTCCTTGTTATAAAACTTATTCTTTAAAACCCTGGACGTTACGCATAATTATGCATAATGCAGTGAGTGAGAGCGCCCTCTTTGATAGTGTCAGATCTTGTTTTGAAAAAAAAACCATTTCGCGGCCAGGACTGGGGGGTCTCATGATTAAGGAGCATAGTTCAGCTAACTTAAGTACTACCCCCCGGTAGTGCATTGCTGCAAACACAACACAAAGCAACAATGAACTTGCTCAAGCACTCTTGTTTTACTATACTCCCGAGGACAATGCTTTGTGTTTTCCTTTGTCCCTGTAATAAAACACATTCCCATAGACAAACCACACAAACTTACAACAGAGGACCATTTCCAACAAATGACCCAATTCCCGAGGACTGAAAGGATCTGTTGTTCTCCCTTTGTGTGTCTGTCCTCAGGGGTTATGTAGAACTGGAGTGTTGCCTAGTGGTTAGGGTTTGTGACTCATGATCAGAGGGTCAGGGTTTCGAATCCAGCTGCAGGTCACATGTTGTGTCCTTGGGCAAGCTACATTGTACTTCATCCCCACTTGCCTCTCTCCACCCAGGAGTATAAATGGGTACCGACATTAGCTGGGGAGTAACCTGCGATGGACCAGCCTCCCATCCAGGGGGCATAGAAATATTCTCAGTCGTTTCATGCCACTGAAACCGGATATTAACGCTGGCCTGATGGGCCACATTGGCTCGTGACAGACTTTACTTACTTACGTATGTAGAACAAGTACACAAAGGCATGTTTTCTAATGTTTCACTTCATGCCAGAACACTCATTTTCATCACATTGTCAGCTTTTTTTAAGTAACTTGATTTAAGTATTGTAAGATGTGTAATAAAGTTATGTAAGTTGGTTTGTAAATATATAAGCAGTGGTAAGTGTAAGATAAGTGTTTTGTACATGTATGGAAGGGAAAGGCCCTAATGAGACAAAAAGTTCTATTTAACGAGGCTTTGTCAGTTTTAACGTGGAGTTTATTGTCAGACTGACTTGTAAATTATGTACAAATCAACTTGTTTGTTATTTTGTAAAGTGTTTGTTTTTCTCACTGGAGATCTCCAATTGGACTTGTAAGCTAGCAAAATGCATTTACAGTCGACTCTCGTTAATACAAACAGTGTTAATACAATTTCTGGTTATAACAAACAAAAAGCCTTGGTCCCGACTGAGTTTATGTGCACAAGGAATGCGACCATCGGTCCTCGTAATACGAAATTGTGATATAACGGGCATTTTTTTCAAGGTACAGCTGAGTTTGTATTAATGGGAGTCGAATGTACATTTCCAGATGTGTTTTCGAATGTTATTTTTTAGTATTGTTGTGATCAGGAATAATTGAGTCCTTTTTAAAGTCCCCTCATAAACATGTACTGAAATAAGGTTGCATTGCAGGAATCACGCTAATGTAATAAGGAAGAGTTAAAAGTATTAGGTGGGAATTTTCAGTGTTTCAACTCACGACTGACACAGAGATACCCAAAAAATATTCAAATGATGCTCCAGCACAAAACTAATCAGAACTCGCATGGCCATATTTTAGGTTACAGCCTATGATACATTGTACAGGCAAAACTTATCAAAATTAAAGGGAATGTACAACATTTGCTTTTGCTGCAATTTTCAGAAATAAATGGATTTGGAGGATTAGTATGTTATAGCAAATATTGTTTAACTGACTTGTTTCACGTTTTGGGGTTGTAGATGCTGGAAAAACCAAGAAAACATATCATGTTCTTGTAGTATGGTTCCCTGACCCCACTTTAGATGAAACAGAGCAATTTATAGACTTTGGGGAAGTTCAGAGAATCAGTCTGGCAGGTGTGTAATCAATTCCAAAGAAAATGCGGAGTAACTAAATATAAAAAAGTAGGAGCAGTTTTTGAAAAAAGCCAGTTATCTCCAATGCAGTATTTCTTGAAAATGTCAGCACACCAGGAGCCACGATTTTACAGGATGCTTTAGACTGTCATTCCCTAATAATCCAGTAAGGTATTTCGTGATAATTTGATCATTTCATTTTTTGATGTTTGCAAATGTTGTATCTTCCTTTTAAGATTGAGGCGTTAGAAGCTAGAATAATGAATATTACTTTCAATATTTGTAAATTTCTTATAAAGAGCTCATTTGGGAAACTTTTGAAATGTCTTGATTTTTAAAACTTTCTGACGCCCACAAATTGGGAACTTAAAATACCTATAACTGTCAGATGGTCAGATTTTGTCCGATTCCCTTATTCTACACATCATTGGAAAGCTTATTCACTGTTATTTCCGATGAGCTGCAATTCCCAGTGTTAAAAAAATGGTCCAAGTGACTGGTTTTGTGCTGGAGGGGTACATATTTGCA